AAAGACAATGGTGATCAAGCATTTCAGCCACCGCCATCCCTTGAGTCCATACGAAGTAGAAGAGGACCAAGACATAATATGCTGCGTTTGTGAGGAAGAAATCCTTCCAACGTCACCAGCTTACAAGTGCAACAACAAGAACAACTCCATATCGTGTGAGTATTTTCACCTCCACAAACACTGCTTTGAATTGCCAAGAGAATTCCAACACTCTTCTCACCCTCAACACTCTCTAACTCTCCTTCCAAAACCTCCTTCCTATCTCTTTAACTGTGCCGCTTGCGCCGGCTATAACTCGTCCTTTGTTTACAACTGCGCCGCTTGCGAATTCGCTCTTCATGTTCGGTGCTCCGGTTTGGAGGAGTTGGTGAGGCGGGAGGATCACCAGCACCCGCTCCAGCTCGTGTTTTCGTTGCGGCCGGAGCAGAAGGAAGAGGAGGAGGAGGAGGATGAGGAAGAAAAGGACTATTGGTGCGACATCTGCGGGTGCTGTGTCAAGGAGGGACGCTGGGCCTATTTGTGTAAAGAGTGTGGTTATGTCACTCACTTGGAGTGTGTAAGTGCGGAAGCTGAAGTATTTGAGAAAGAAGAAGAAGAAGAAGCACTTGATTACTCTGCGAAAGAAGAAAGAAGAAGAAGAAGAAGAAGAAGAAGAAGAAGAAGAAGAAGAAGAAGAAGAAGAAGAAGAAGAAGAAGAAGAAGAGGACGATGACGATTTGGATGTTATTGTAAAAAACCAGAAGAAGATTTTTGTGCAGCAAATGGTGTTGAATAACCAGATAAATATGAGAAGGATGCGCACGCAACAGAAAATAATGATGGACAACACAAGACGTCTATTCCAATTCAGATTATAGATACATATCGGATATTATATATTGAACCAGTGAAATTTCGTTTTCAGGTACTTTTGCTTAGAACTTATAATTACAATGCTGCAATGTTTGCTCATGGCTGTTTGGCTATAAAACTGTTGTTATGTTCACTACTGGCCTGCTAGTCTTTGTTTCTGTAATTCGTCAAGGTTTATTATTTCAAATAAAGAAATTGTGCTTTATTATCATGACTTTGAGATCTACTTTCCTAATTTGATCAACTAGTCTTTGCCAGTTTTGGTAGCATATATCACCTAGCTAGGTTTGGATTATATATGGTTTTTGCTTATTTGCAATAGATAGACATAATATAAGGTTAGATAAGATGAAACTGCGAGGAAATACATATAGTCAACACCACAAACTGAGGCATATGGAGTTCAATGACTAAATACAAGTTATCAACTTTAAAAAAAAAAAAAATATATATATATATATATATATAAAGAGTAAATAGTAGCAAAAGAATGCATCTATTTAGTACATAAATTTACCTTCATATAGCTTGCAACATAGATTTATTTAAAGAAGGAAAAAGGAGACAAATACTTAAAAGTATAAATCAGGATTTTTACTTTTTATTCTTAATTAATGATCTTTTTAATCAAATTATTACACTAGTAAAAGGATATAAATCAAGAAAGAAGAGTAAAAATCTAGATCAATACACTCTGAAGGGTAAATACTGCAATTTTCTCTTTAAAAAAAAAGGATTACACTTGGTCTTCTATTATAATTAAAAAACCCTATTTACTAGAAGTTATAATGTATAGACTATTTACTACATTAAAGGAGACAAATATCTTTAGAATGCATAAGTCTTGTATTTTTACCTTTAATTATTGATTAATACCTTTAGTTAAAAAAAAATATATTAGTCAATAGGGTATTAATTAAAATAAAAAGTAAAACTCTTAGAACATTACATTCTAAAAGTAAGTTTATCAATTTTCTCTTAAAATTTTCATGAGGGCTCAATTAATATAACATCTCATAAAAAATTTATATCAAAAATTTATATCAGCATGTTATGATTCTTTTATTATTATTATTATTATTATTATTATTATTATTATTATTATTATTATTATTATTATTTTTGCTTCTAATGATTCTTTTTTTTTTTTTGTTAATCTATTTTGTTCCATAAATAGCCGTCAAGTGGTATGACTTCCTTGAAATGGTTTAACCACAAGTTCAAACTTACTGTCCCAAATTTCTTGTCTCATTGGCTATCCTCTCAATGTAATTTTTACATTTTGATACTCATCTAAATTTACAAAATTGACTACACAATAAATAATAAATAAACTACTTAAGCAATTAAATGGCTGTCAAAATATTCGGTGACAACCAATAAGACTGAAAAATGCAACAGTAAATATGAACACAAGATTGAAATAACTTAAGAAAAATAACGTCTCGCTGTTTCTCTCTCTTTTTAGGTAATAATCTCGTTCTTTAAGTACATTATTAATTCAATATTAAAAAGATGTACATTTTTTTAATGCAAAAACGCATTTCATTAATCAACAAATCGCAAAGCTTATAGAGAACTCAATACAGAAAATTTGATATAACAAACTAAAATCGAAATTATAAAAAAAAAAATTTAGTAGATCCGTTGGCGTCCTATTACAGGGATCTAAGGTCCAACAATAGACACAACTTGGAGCACTTCTCTTAGCTCTTTTAATTCTCTCTCCACAGCTGGGTCTCTCAAAAAGACTGTAGCAAATTCTCTACAAAGACCGATCTCTAAAAGCTAATATTCTTTCAGATCAAACTCGCCGAAGAGGGAGATCTTACCAAGAAATATAGAAGATAAAAAACAACACAAAACCGACACAAGGTTATATCTTGGTGGGTGAACACAACCAAAGTCCACATAAATCTAGCGATTTGTGGGGGAAAGCAAACACCAACACAAGCAGAATGACTGTTTTTATTCCAGGAATAACTAAAAAAAGAGAAGAAAACACCAATACAGACTCCACCATCGTGTAGATCGGCTGACGTAGAACACGTAGTTATATTTTAAGGGCCGACTAGCCGGAGACGCGCTTCTAATAATCAGCCGGACTATTCTCCTTCTCCGCTCTCTCTCTCTGGAATTCTCTCTCACTAGAAATTCAATATTCCATTTTGAGGTGCCCTAGGCATGATAATAAATAGTCAACCCACAGTACCAATGGATCACGACAAAAATATAAAGGATGATCCGTTCACTAGTCAATCCCAATCACCTTATGACACGACGACATCTCATCAAATTTGACTTTTAAATTAACATATAATTGGAAAACTTCGACTTTATTTCTTATTACTTAGCGCATTACATGATAGTTTGGTACTGCTCCATATTATATGATCCTTAAACAACTCTTTCAAGATCATCCAAAGGCAAGAAAAAAAAGTTATAAAAATTATGACGATGATCACACATTTCAGCCACCACCATCCCTTAAGTCCATACCAAGTAGAATTAGATCATCATCAGAAAGAGGATGATCATGATCATGATGACCAAATCACCATCTACTCAGGCTGTGAGCTAGAGTTGATCTCAGGCTCATTAGCCTACAAGTGCAACAAGCCCAGTCGCGATTTTCGCCTCCACGAGTGTAACACTTTGAAGAATTAAAACAAGTTTAATTATAATAATTATAATTTATTAGTGTGCCTAATTTGATATTTCTTAATTAATTATGTTTATTAAATATTTTCAAAGAATTTCAATTACTTTTCAGTATTTATATTTTCACTTCAGAAGTGTGTGGAGATATATTTTCTGATCTACTTTTTTAAATATCTTTTAGTATTTATCTTTTCATTTTTCATTTATTTCTTTTTCCTTTCTTTTTCTTTCTTTAATTTCCTCTCTCAGCTCACTCTCTCTTTCTCTCTCGTCTCTCTCGTTTTCCTCTTTCTCTTCTCTCTCTCAAATTTGTCTCTAAGGGAGTTTTAGACTAAGACTTGAACGAAAAGGGAAGCTCAAGAAGTTTTCAATATCAAATAAAGGATTTGTGGTAATATTTCTGAAAATCTCCTCTTGAATCTTGGATTTTTCCATTGGTGAAACTTATTTTTAGTTTAAGTTTGATTTGAGGATTTTGGTTGAAACCATGTTAGAAATTGGAGATTTTTTATTCTTTGAACTTGATTCAGTGATTAGAACCTGATTTTGTTAATTTCTTTTGAGAATATCTCAAAAATCAAACCCAAAATTGCATGTTTTGGCCTCGTTCTCTACGGATCGGCCATTTCGGCCGACCTATGTTGCTCCCACAGGTCGACCGGGGTGGTCGACCGGCCTCCTCTCTACCGGCCGACCAGTGGAGATGAACCTCTCTGTCGCCGGTCGACCGGTGTACACGTGTTCTGGCCCTAATTTGTCTTAAAACCCTGTTTTGACCTCAAACTTCGATGGAGAACCTAAATTAGCTTCATTTGGGAACTTAAGTGAGTCGATTAGCCACATTACTCCTTGTGCTATTCTATTTTCTTGTGTGGGTACCAATTCTCAAAGAATCATGAATTGAAATACGAAATTGTTTATGAACTTTGATTTTAAATAAAGGCATACTAGTATGATACAATTATACATGATTGAGTTTGACTTGGTTGTGATGATGGAGTATGAATCTTAGAATATTGTTTTGATAGCGGGATTGGAGGAAAGGCAAGTGCTAAGCTTCGAAGGAAGTCGAGCTAGGATGACGAAGAGCTAGCTGTAGAACTCTACCAGAAAGGTAGGATATTCTTATTCATATCCTTGTTAGCCTGTTTTAAAGTGTTTTAGCTTATGGAAATGTTTTAAAGATAAAACGTGCTTGATAAAGAAAAGTAATTTAAAACAATAGCTTGATTATTGCTATTGGTCTCATAATGAACTGATATAAAGTTTGAATGAATGATTTCTTAAGATAAGATATCTTACGAACTAGTAAGCCCGCTGATGGCCTAAATAGGATATAGAGATTGTATCCTTAAGGGCAGGACCCGAAACCCAGACCGGGCCACTACGGTGGTGATAAGGCTTGTGCTTTTGATTGCGTAAGTAACTTATCATAGCTATAAATTATTTGCTGATGCCTATAATCTGAAATTTAAGTTTATATTTTCCTTTCAGAAAAATGATGTTTGGTTCCGGCTGATGTGTTAGAACTGTGCATTTCTATTTATTTATAAAGCTTTCTAAATATATCATACTAGGCCTTCTGCTCATTTTTCTTCTATTTTAATGTATTTAACCCCTCCCAAGTGACGCTAGAAGCAGCGCTGAGTAGCTGAGTAAGTTGTTACCGCCTGAAATCTTGGTTAAGAGGTTCAAGTGTGACGACCCTAACTTTTGATCATCATCCTATGTTCATACTTATTACTTAACCTCTACTACTTTCTAATTATAACCTCCTAAAAATTCATGCTAATTTTTTTACCATTCATACGTCTAAATGTTGTAGCATTTTGCCAGCATTTTGTTTTCAACCATTCATACATCTAAATGTTATAGCATTTTGATAGCATTCTGTTTTCAACCATTCATACGTCTAAATGTTGTAGCATTTGGTTACATTAATCATACCTTGTAACTAGAGGCTGCTATGTCTAGCCTCACTGTCTCGTAAACTCAATTCGTTACATAAGTCATCTATATTCATAAAACATTATTTACTTTTTACACATAAAGTTCAGCAACGTTTCTAAAACACGTAATGCATCCACAACCCACTTGCCCACACTCCGCTGCTACATCCTCTCTGCATGCCCAACAACAAGTTTCAGGGAGCCAGTGCCTTACCCGAGCTTCCTACAATACGAACAAACTTAATGAGCTTTTGCTCAGCAAGTATCAATAGGTCATAACAGATGCAATAATTATGCATACCCATATATGCATTCATGTCATATATCCTAATACATTCTGTATTACTAAAACATGTATGGTTTATGTTTTTCTTCTTTCATTACATACTTTATTCAGCTTTCATCTCATTATAGTCGATCATATTGTATTTTCACATTCTGAATGACTTTCATTTTGTGTTTCTCATTCTTTTCATTCTTCTTTACAGATACCGTACCTTTATATGGAACGGTTTATGTTTTTCATTTTCTTGTCTTT